CGATTTCCAGTAATAGTGATCTCCAATAATAATGTTCTTCCATGATAATGGTCACCATAGGTGTTTTGTGTAATCCCTTAGGAGAAGTGGTGGGTGGGTGGGAAAATGTTACAGTAGCTTTAGAACTTTACTTTGCTAAGACTTTGAAACAAGTGATCTCTTTCAGGTGTATTTGGTCTATTTTACTGGCTTAACCGAATTATGATTGGTTACATGTTTTGATGCCATCGAAGATATATTTCGATTGGCTGAAAGATAATTGGTCATGAGATGTGCACGTGTACGCTTTGCCAATACAAAGATGACCTTTGATACAAATGACAGCTGTGGGTCTGTGACCTTTGTGCCGCACGCAAAATATTGAAATCGATTGTCATATAAATTAGACTAAATTTGTGGACAGCATTGCCCATTAACTTAAATTTATAATATATATAAATTAGCTTAAAATTTAGTCTAGCATGCAAGTTGTCCATTAAAAAGGCTGAAATGCGCCTTAAAAACCATCATTCAAAAGCCGGATGAACTGTGCCTTTAAAGTATATTGCAAGTAACATGCAAACAAAAAGTTTATCCGCAATGTAAAACGATTCTAACTTACCATCAGCATTTCGGCGAAAGGGGGCTTTGATTTTTGTTCCTGATTTCGTTTCAATTAACTCTATATTCTTACGTCCTTTGCCCATAACAAATCCTATATATTCGTTTGGCACAGAGATATCGATTTTTATAACATCATCATTCACCTTTAGTTGTAAAATAAAAGAAATTTACAATTCATGAAAGACAAATTTTTCAAACGAACTATAGGTAAAATATAACCATAATATAATAAAGCATACTAGTTGACTAGTAAATCTGAGGCATTATTTATTACCTGGGTAGTAAATAATGCTTTTCAAAAAAATTGATCCGGCAAATTTGGTTTCCAAATCGACAAAATATTGAAAAAATCGTCCCCAGTAAGCGAACGAAACACAAACTGTCGTATTTAACTTGAAAGGTAGGATTCCTTTATTATTTTACTGTGTCAATTTAAAACTTATTTAAAACTCACTTCAAACAAAGAGCAAAAACTATCCCGCCTGTTGGGAAAAACCTTGCCGTGATATTCTTTTAAATTCATTTTGTTTTGTATCGTATAGATTTCTCCATTTGTACAATACTATTTCTTTTGATATGTCATATTTTCATTGTGTTGTATGATGTTTTGACCACTGCGTTGTGTTTTTGAAACTTTTAAATTGAAAAGTGTATTAAAACTTTATTTCGAACGATATAGACCAATTGCGAAACTTAGTAACCGCGCCTTCGCATAACATGAAAACGAGGCTTATTATGCAAAAACAATAATTCCATTGTTCGCTTTGTCCGAAAGTCAAAAAGTGAGTCGCCGAGTTTTACAGCGGTTTTCTCTTGTTTAACAAGTTTCCGGATACTTTCTTAGCTTAGTCAAATAAATTATTAGCATAGGTAGTTTTCTCTTCAATTTACGCGTTTTCGTGGGGTGTTTTTAATCATTTTGACGGCGCGGGCCGGTGGAAATATCATGGAAAACATCGAAACAAACTAAAGGCCCTGTCACACTATTGCGTATCGTACTAGCGTATGCTAGCGTATGAAAAATATCACTCATACGCCGGTATACGCTGACATACGCTAGGGGTACGTTAGGCATAGGTTGTATACGTTTCAAGCACGGTCGCATACGGTGGCAAACGGCGAGGCAGAAAATATTTTTTAAGCATGTTCAAAAATTTTGTGCGTATCGGACGTATGCTTTATACGATAAGCATACTCTAGGCACACGCTGAATACGCTAGAGGTACGCCA